GAGCATAAATACGGTCATTTTGTTTGTTAAAATGTTGCTCAATTGTAAAAAAATTCTCATCCGTAAACAAAATTTTTCTATAACCTCCCTTTGCGTACTGCTTCAGTAGTTGTTTCGATTTTACCACCCTATTCTCTTTTAAATTATCAGTTAAGAAATGACCAATACGTCTCTTATAGGCTGCAAGTCCTAAGTCATCTTTTAAAATACGCGACATGGTTCTAGATGCTATCTTCATCTCCTGAGATAAAATCTTTTGCTTTCGGACAGGATTTCTTCGAATTCTTTCCCTTACTGCTTTGACCACCTTTTTCGTACGAACACTACGTGGACGGCCAGATGTTTTTCTGTCTCAAACAGAGGAGGTCTCATTGCACCTATTAATAGGTACATAAACATTTTACTAATACCAAGCGTATGGAGAGTTTTAAAAATTGCATTTGGCTCCATACCTACTTTGTGTAATGCAATCACAGCGATTCGGTTCTCTTTATCACCCCACTCCATTTTAATATCGCAAAATATTGTACAATGTATTGGCGCCAAAATGAGAAAACTCAATAAGCAATCATATAAAAATGACAAATTCCAAATTCAAATGTAATATTTTGTTTATTTTTAATTGTAACAGTATTTATGGCCAGACTAAGTGTATTGGTACGAACAGTTCTTAAGTATTCATAAGGACTGTTTGTGTGGGACGCTACTTGTTGTTTCCGACAATAGCTTTTTCTGCACCACTTGAACGAAGAGAAAGGTTCAAGTAGGTCTTAGCGATGTAGGAACAATGCATGAATAAGTACATGTTATCGATGTTATGTACTTGTGTAATGAAAAATATGGTGATTTATAAAATGAAACAAATTAAGACTGGTGCCATTTATTTTAAACCCGAACCAATTGGCATCATATTGTGAATGTCGTTAGTGCATAAATTAATTAATTAAATCCAAAGTTTGATACTGTGATTATTTAGAATCATGACAGCAAGAAATTCTTCTTTTTCGATTACGTTACTTTAGTGGTCATTGTCAATTATCTATACTAATATATAAATGTACAGTGGTTTTACGGATGTTCCGTTATAACTACTGAGCCGTGCATCCGTTTGACTTAAAACTTGGTATCAATGTAGAAAATAGATGTACTTAATGGATAGGCTAATAATATGAGTATTGGACTCCCTACACCAGTTGCGGGGGGCGTTAATGATGAGAATCTTTGTGGGGGTCAGAAATAATAATGTTAATTTTAAATGCCCAGCGAAGCGGACGGGTACAGCTAGTAGTGTATAAAAATGCTTCTGCGAAATTAAATTACTCAACCGAATTCAACCGACTTCTTCAGAGTCAATAAATACATTTTGGGTATTTTTAGACGTATTTTAAGACTAAATTGATCAAAAATATTTCAATAGAAAATACAATAAAAACATTATGTGTGTACTTTATTGTCCTATCTAAGGCGTTGCATTTTCACTGATATTCCGAAATAGACCGGTGGGCCGGGTCGCACGACACCCCCGAGACTTTTCCCGGCTCGGACGGCCACGCAATGTGGCATCTTACTCTGTAAATTGTTTTATATATACCTAAAACAGTTTTATTTTCCATATCTTGAAAAAAGAGTGTGAAAACTTAAGCCTTTTTTTTTGGGTAGTGAATATTTTTTGTGAATTTAATTCTTTCCTTATTATTTTTTAGTGCTATGATATCCTGTGGTTTTTACATATTCTTATTTCAATATATTTATAGAGTGAAAATGTTAGTTGGGTAGAGACTGGTAAACTAAAGAAGTCTCAACATAAGAAAAAAAGACGATCGCCATTATAGGTGATAATGAATGTTCTATTAAAATGGGCTGGCCACTAAGTATCACGTGTAACAGATGAAATATGATTAAAAGATTTACAAAATTAACGCTCAGGAAAAACAACGAGGAGTAAGCGCGGGTAATACTTGGTAATACGGAGATAAATTACTTTTGAAAACGTAATGTCTGAGAATGTAAAGGCCTCCAGATAATTAAGCTGCGCCAAGGCCGTATCAACAAAGGCGACTATTTACCATCAAGACTGTGTGCTTTTGCAGCTACTGCTGTGACTACGAGGGTAATAAAAAAATTAACGCCATCCCGTTGACAGGATAAAAAGTGAAGTTGTTGAAATATCAAATAATTGTACAGGAATCTTTCCGTGAGCACACTATAGAAATATTTGAATAAATCATAAGCAATTATATTATTATACATCTAAGCAATGTTTTGTTTTACTGTAACACAAAAATGATAATTATCGTGAAAAAAATTAAAACTGCGATTATTGTAGGTGTTTTTGTGTAGATTTTAAATTATGTTTTCAGTCGAGGGTGCTGGATAACAGTTTTGGCGACAGCAAACATGCACGAAACACTTGTTAACATACACATACACACATAATATCCACATAAGCATAATATTATGTGTTTTTAATAGTGTGAAAATTTAATTTTACACGGAGTAGTATAAAATTTCCTAAAAAATTCAAAATACGACCGTATCTTGTATGTAATGAAGTAACAAAGCGCCTGAACCGTAGACCCTATGTAAATAGGTGACGGTCATAAGGTCGAGCTATGGCAAGCTTATATGTATTTTAATCTATAGCAAGAAACTGAGGCAGATAGCCTACGTGCTCTTCGGTTAATTGTGTGGATTATTACAAATCTAACCCCGACACCACGCGCGATTCGTGTCGCCTCCCTAACTACCTATCGATTTATGAGCTAGCCTGTATCTATAGAACTGCATTTAATTTTAATTATGTTCACAAGAATGTTTTTATTCATATTAAAACGATAATATATATAAAATAAATTATATGAAATTAATAAATGTGTATTCAATTGGAATTTGCAGCAAATTACAAATTTGAAACGGATTTTTATGTGGGATTTTCATCGGAAAGACGAAAATATCTCCTTTGAAAATTTTATTAGGTTTCAGCTTGCGACGTTTTTGAGTGTGAAAATTGTAATGCTCTTAACTATATTTTTCAACATCATTTATTGAAGATAGAAAAACCGTTTTATTATAAAATTTGGTGAGAATATGAATAAGGGGACGAGTGCGAAAAAAAAAAACTATACTCTGGGTTTTATTAAAACGATCACGTAACACTTTTCAGGTCTGGTTGCTCGTTTTTAACAGGCCACGGCACTGAGGGTCTGACCTGCCTTTAAATAGATGTATTGTGGAACAAGATCGCTTAAAGAGGTAGTGCAGGATGCATGAGCTTTTTTATTACTTACTAGCTGACCCGGCAGAGAAACAAAAGACCTAAACTTTTGTCTAAAATAAACTTAAAACCAACAAAGGAATCCGTCCGACGGGGGACACATGAAAGGAAAAACAAAATTGTTATTTTTATTTCATTCCCACCATTTTCATATTTATCTACCTTTTAGACCTTCTCTGGGCTTTCACAAATAATTCAAGGCCAAAATTAACCAAATCGGTCCAGTCGCTCTCGAGTTTTAGCGAGACTAACGAACAGTAATTCATTTTTCTTATAAGGGTGGAGGAGCTCACGGTCCATGGCTGGTGTTTAGTGGTCCCGGAGACCGTGGACATCATCACGTGAATGCCGTTACTCACCTTAAGATCCAACGTCTAAGCCTCAATTGTATAAGACAGAATATACATTGCAGGCTAACAAGGCGCCTCACCGTAATTACGGAAATTATAAATTTTGGGAGGGTTGGGATTTTTATTTCTTCATTATGGAAATCTTTCGTGAACGTAAGGTAAGTACGTGTTCGGGGAGCATGAATAATGATCTCCTGAAACGCAGCGAGGATGAATGCAATCTGAACTCGAAACACCCATCTCAAGAATCCGTATGTTGTTGGACATTTTTAAAAAAATATTAATAAATCTTTGGAATTAGGGCGCTATGATAAACAGGTCATTCTTCGTAGTGATGCAAACCTGTATCTTCAGTTTGTAGATTTGAACAAAGTTCGGTTAAACCATTAGGAGACCTGCCCTAGACAGCTCTACACTTCAGCCACATGTTTCAAGTTTCTATCGAACTCCAAAATTGAAAAAAAAAAATTGTATGCTAAACCAAGAAACCGGGAATAACATTAAAAGCGCGAGATTATATCGTAAAAATAGTTGTTTTTATATTTCATACGTCCGAAAGCCGAAGAAAATATTATACGATTAAGTTTTTGATATCGTTATGATATTCTTAGTTTAAAACCACGGCAGCTAACAAATTTGTCCCATTGTGATTAACTAACGCTTCCTCAACCGAATTTAAATGTTGCTTCTAGATTTTGTTATGTATTTCCGTAAATCAATTTAAAGTTTTGTTCAAGTTAATTAATATGAAATTATGTTATGTTAATATGATACTGATATTAGTACGATCTAGGGTGACATAAGTGGAATGGTAATTTGTTGTTTATCTTTAATAATTACTACAAGCAAAGCAATGATAAAGCGAGTATAATTTTACGTTGGTTAGGTGATTAATTAAAATTATTCCCGTCTTATACGAGATAACACAGTTTTAGTTTTATATTATTTGATAAATGCTCTCAAACTAATCGGAGTTCTACTGTAGATGCACCCTATCTACCAAATGAGGTCAGCCTGACATTGACCCACAATACGGAAACAAATTTACATTAATTCCCCCTTCACTCATCTGTGCCGCCCGAATAAAGTAATGGGTGCTTCTCATGTACAACATATATTTTATTTGGTGCATTAAATATTTGTCGAATAAGTTATGTGTCTTCGTACAAAGCGTCGCCTGAAGCTGGACCTATGAGGTTCCATACAAAAAAAGATGGTGTGCGTAGTTAGGTGAGTTAGGTAAGGTGAGGATGCTGCGAAGTGAAGGACCCGTGATATTGGTATACGCGGGGTGGGGTTGTGAAAGCGGGGTAAGGTTGCGGCGCGCGGAGGGCGGCGGACGGTCGCGCAGGGCGGGCGGGTGGCACGTAACAAGTGAAACGGCCCCGGGAGCAACAGTCTGCCGCAGCCCGGCCACGCGGCCTCACATTACCACCATAAGTGCACTCAACTGGATAACAACGCGCTCTTCGCGTAAGTACTACTATAATTGCTTATAATCACACAATACAAGATGGGAGTACATTGCTGATCAAAGAACTCCGCCTGGGCCATCAGCGAACACCAAAGCTTCTGCCCTTGAAATAGTTTGTGTTACGGTTGTAAAAGCCATCAACCCAAAGCTTCTATTCTTTAAGTACCCTTCTTGGTACAAGTATACCTGTTGAATAGTTGATGAGTCATTAAGATAATGACCTAGTAAATTTGCGACATTAACGTACCGCAATAAATTAGTAGGAACAAAACAATAAGTGAATAATAGACCATAAAAGTAGGTAATGGCAAACATCGTGTCGTTTTTTGATTGATCATCAACGGTTCCCCCGTATATTTATTTTTAAAGACTGGCACAGGTAAAGTTGAAAAGTCACGAATTGTTACGGAAAATGGCTACGAAAGCTCTGATTTTTCACAAAAATGAAAGTGATCGTTTTTTTTAGAATCTAAGTGATTATTTATTATTAAAATATTATCTAATTTGGCAGATATTTTTGATCTACACCATATTACTGTATCACCTAAAGAAATATAAAATACAAAATAAACGGAAAAAAATAATCGAAATTGCTTAGCAAATGGTCAAGGCACTTTTATCTAAATGAAGTATGTACACGAAATTAGATTTTGTTCCATGATAAATCTTAAAGAGAAATAATTGTGAAGAAAACTTATTGCGAAAAAAAATTTGAAATACAAAGAACAGCTTACCTTCAAGATCTGTCCATCAAAGATAAGATAACAATGAAGCTTCGCAAACATTTGCTGCCTACGTGTAATTGGAATACTCTGATGACCTTTTCAAGTACGAGCCACAATGAAGGTTTGTGATTAACAGAATTCGATACTCTGCTATTTATAAAGAGGTATTAGGAGCTAAATATTCAATGGAAGGAGATCAAGTTTAATGTAATGTTATTAAGGCACACGTCTTGTCCCAGGAGACCAAATTATCCTCTAACGCGGTAACATGTATGGACTTAATGAAACTGAATATGTGAAATGCGCTCATAGCGTGTAACAACTTTAAAATATATATAGTTGAGTACCAGTTTTGAATAATGAAGCAATTTCGTCGATTCAATGCCGTTTTTCAAAAACATTTCCAATGTTTGACATTGTTAAAATGTTTCGGGTACATCGAGCGATACCTTTAGGCATGGTGTTGTGTGCACAGGTTGGGTTGACCCACGTAGGTGGTTGCTTTAAATGTCAATGGATTGCTTTTTGTTTTTATTACGTTTTATGGAACAATGGTAATATACTCAAAACATACATACATCATGAGTATGAGATAGAGTTATGTTTTGAGCTTTATATTTTTACAATCAATTTTTAAGTTTAGTGAAGCGATTACTTTCAATTATAGAAGAATCTGATCTATCTAAAAGTGCCTATCACTACTACCGCAACCGTAAAACACCAATCCATGAAAAATTGTAACAGAGGCATGTCGTATTTTCCTAAGTGTAGCTAGGATCATTAGCGACTAGGATGAGATTACAATATCTTTCCATATTTTGCTTTGGTTTGTGATTTTTTGTTACTCGGTTAATTGCAATTATTTCTTTAATGTTTAGTGTACGTAATTGTCAGTACCGTGTAGCTAGGGTGTGTGAAGAGCGGCAGCCTGATTTTAAAGACATTAAAAGCTACGGATTCGTTGTAGGTGTTTCGTTGTAGGTAGGTATTTCAATTTCTTCATTTGCTTGTTTGTTGATTCGTCAATCACGCAAACATTGAACTTATTTCGATAAAAATTAGAATAATGTTTGGAAGCTAAAAGCTTTAGATTTGTCACGCTATAACAGGGAAGGAAATCATTTGTATAATACATACTAAAATGTTATTATATATCATCAAAAGTAAGGTTTCTTTTGTGAGTTCATGAAATCGTTAATACAGGCTTGCATATAATACGTACTTATTAAATTAGCTTAACCAAAATATTCTATATCCGACCAGTTGTTTTAGTCAGAACAGTACATTCACAATAGTAAGGGAATAGCCGTCTGTTTTATCGTTAATTGTGATCACGTTTCATACAGCTAATGGTTACGCGGTGATCAATAGGTTTCACATCACGTAAATGATATACAGCTTTTCAATTTATTATATGACGCTGTTATGAATTTATTAAAATATTTGGTTTCAAGATTAGTTATCTTCTTTACATTTACAATAAAATTGTGATTTGATGGCACGAATTAAGATAGCGATTTGATAAAAGGAAAGTTCGAATTGTTGGTTAAAAATCTAATCTTTTATCCTTGACAGCTGACGGGAACTCGAATTTTTTTTATCAAAATATTTCATTTTTTTGTTTATTAACTTCCTTAGATATTTTAGAATTTCTCTATTTGCTCGGTTCATCATCTTAAGATTATGAAATTGAATAAAATATACTTTCCTTTACTATTCTCTTCAAGATTCTACTTTTAATTTTTTAATCAGTACAACAATCAGTAACACAGTCTAGCTTTATAGCGTAAGGTTTTATATACGATCACATTTTTCTAGATATACTTTTGATACTCAATTACGACTGTAAACGTGCCAATTAACTTGTACGCAGTGTTTATTGTGTTGACGTCAGCCGTTCACCAAACAAAGTAATAAAAGGAAAAAAGTTAGTAGGTTGCCAACACGACAGTAGAGTCTCATTATGATTCTGTCCGACGCCGATACACATATTATCACGATGTAGTTTTGGGCCCGATATTTGCTGCAGTATTAGAAATGTTATTTTACGTGACATAGTTGCATTCGATATTTTTTTGATTAACTCGTGAACGAAGATATTGAACCGTGAAAATTCAGAAGTAAATTCAGTTATTCATGGAAGTATGATTAAGAAGATGTAAACTGAAGAGACAGAGATAGAAACGAGTACAAATTATTTCAAATGGGTGTTCAAAATAAATAAATAGCCGCCATCTTTTAAAACGTAGTTTGGGTTTTTTTTTTTAAATCGGATAGGCGAATGTAATAGAAAGTGCCAAATTTGAAGTGTGAAACTACATATAAAACTAGCATCAGTCTTCTTAAAAATAAAATTATTTTACAACAGTCAATGTAACAAAGACATAAGTAAATGTTTGAATTATGTATTAAATTCTAGATTGATACTGAAAACTTGATTCCGAATGAAATGTCGAATGATTTGTAAAATGAAAAGATAAATTCTTGCAAAATGTAAGAAATTAGATAAATTTATAAAATTGAGTAATTAGGGATGGGAGGGCGTATCGTGAGTTAGCACGTGTAGGTTCTGTATTCGTATTTCTAAATAAACTAGCTGTTACCCGCAGCTTCGTCCAAGTGGTCAAGGAATAGTGTGACTGTAGTTTCCCTTGGGAATGATATATTTTTTTGGGACGAAAGGTTGCCTATGTCACTTTCTGGCCTAATACTATCACTTTAAAACCTGTCAATTAGTTGCTTCTTTTCGACGTCAAAAAAGGATAAACAAACACACTTTCACATTTATAATAATAAATTAAATATTGAGGTACTATATTATATTATATAAGTATGGATAACCTATATATTAATAAAATCTTTATTCAAAAAAAGTAGGAGCTACAAAAGAAACATTTATTATTATATTATAGTTATTTATATTATACTTGTAATATTATTAGTAACCATATTAAATTCAACAAACTAAAAAAATATCCTGCGAAAATATTTTTGGTCTTTGCTTGCAGCGTTGTTATGTTAGTGACGTTCAACCCATAGACACAGCCTACTGAGTTTCTCGCCTGATCTTTTCAATGGGTTGCGTTTCCGATCCGGTGGTAGATTCTGCGAAGCACTGCTCTTGTTAGCAACACTCTCGGTTTGAGCCCCGTGAGCTCACCTACACGTCAAGGAGAAGACTCTCAAGGCTATCAGCATAGGTAGGAAAAAAAAGTGACGCTCTATTACAAATGTAAGCCACACGGAAACAGAGCTTGCGGCTATAAGTCATTTGACAAGTATCTTAAAGATGAATTAAAATTACGAAACATTCATTAATACATAGCAGCACAATTTATACGACAAAGTTGCATATATCATTTTAATAATTCGATCATTAAGCACGACCATAATATTGTTATCTATTACGCCTTGTAAATGATTTATTGTGTTGATTATAATATTTTAATATTTAATTAGACTAATTATATCGTCTGCCCCGCACGGGAGGGGTGGCGCCATGACCTCGTCGCAAAAACAGGAAACGACTTGTCCATGCCGAGTGTTGTGGCATTGACGCTCGGCGGCGACGAGTCTTGCAAGGCGATGCTCGACTTGTGCATGTGCACCAACCGGTTCTGACCGGCGCCATCTAGGGAGGCTTCGGATAGCCTGCCGAACGAGAAGGCTGGTGGTCGTGGCGCCGACGACCGCTGGTCCGGCGTCCGGAGGGGAAGGGTGGTGGGAGAGAGTACTCCGCACTAAACGCTTCACTTTCCCCCTTTGCCTTTTCATGTGTTCTGTCCCACGCAAGGATCGGACGTGAGTTGTTGAGCAACAGGAGGTTTTTAGTTGGTTCGACTCGTGTCGTGTCTGACTCGTGGGCATAAAGATAACAGAAAGTAGCTCACCGGGTTAGAAAATATAATGCTTATAGTTTTATTTCAATTAGATCGTAACCGAGACATTTGGTTAGTCTTAGTTGCGATCTATAATCAGACTGGTACTAGTAATAGCTTCGCGGTAGTCATACTAGTAAGCAGGATATTGGTGCAAAAATTCATCACATTCTTCGATATCCTGGTCCTGTAGGTGAAGGCGCTATAGTAATCAAATTTAATGTTTGTGTAGAAAGATTGAAATAAATTGTAGAAAGATGGGTGATTCTAAAGACTTCATATCATTACAGCATTTACATACATATGTATAACTATAGTCGATCATATCATCCGTAATGTTATTATTGAAATGTTAGAAATGTTAATGTAAACTGTAGCGAGGGCGTATGTTTTGAA